TGAATATATATTGAATTTTGAAAGAAAGTTCTTCATACGATTATTTTGAATTTATTTGAAATTTTCAAACGTTCTTTGTAAAATTTATTACTGTTGTTATCATTCAGCATGTTATGTTTATTTCTAAATTTTAATATAAATATACATATTAAAATAAATGTTTAGTTTCAGGCAGTAGTTCGTACCATAAATTACAAGAAATACTAGACAAACAGAAATCAGTTTAAAAATTGCATCATCTGGCTATATTCCAAACCATAAATATTTTATAGCCTCAGTTTACGTTACAACTTGCTATAAACACTTCATATCAACACATACGAACTCAAATAACTGCTGCTAATATCTTGATTACATCTAAGATAGCACGCCATACGCAGTATGTACATAAAACTGAATATGAAAATTCTTTAAGTTATTTTAAATAAAACGGAAAACCAAACATATAAAAAGCCCATAAGAATGCTCTACTAAAATACTTTGAGATGAAACTTATTCCCCATCATCAGTATTTTATCGATAATATTTGTTATATTATAAAATATTTCAAAATGAATCATAAGGCACCTGGCGTCTATTCTCTAAACGTTAATAAACCAATAACTGGGCTCGAGAAATCTAATACAATTTTTAAATGTAATTTACTTAAATAATTTATTTATAAACTATTAATAATCACTTATAACGATTACGTTGCTGTTACACTAAATTATGTAATATCATATCAGTACCGTGTCAAGTCGCTTCAATAATACCTCATTGCAAATAAGACATGTTTAAAATTAAATTTATGTATATATAATATCGTCTGTGTTTTGTCCAAGAAGTGCATATTGACTTGTCGAGTATACAGAATTGTTAAAAAGTGGTTTTGTAACAGGATCTTCAAATATCGAGGCAACAGATACGCCATCATTAGTAACTATTTATATCAAGAATATATAAAAGAGAAAATAAGAAAATAAATGATATGTTCAGGTCGCCACTAAGTACTGACGATATATAGGATGATATTATAGAAATATAAGTTTATAAATATAAATTATTTTTCAATTATACAGAAGAAGATGCGGTTAAGAGGAATTGTTGACCAAAAATAAAAGAAAAGGATAATAAATCGAATATTGATACTAATAAAATAAATAAAAACCAGATTTCAAGTATTACAAATCGACACTGCAGATGCCCAGAACGTCTTATAGACAGTCACACTTAAAACATTTCGTAGCATAATCATTGCAGCGTGAAGTAGCTACTTAAAGTCAAAGCTAATAATGCTGGGTAGAAATAGATTTTTTTTTCTTGAGCTCGTGTCCGACATCTGGGCATTCCGCCAACAATCTCTGCATGCCTTGCCATTCGGTCACTACAGTTTAAACGTCATAGTTTCTAAGTAATGTATAAATATAAATTATGTACCCAGAAGTGGAGGGTATACTGTAATTTTTATTAAGTATCGAATTAAAATTAGATAGAGCTATTGAGGGATTTAAAAACTATTATCAACTTAATGATTCAACGAATATGTTAGCGATAATTCAGATCTTAACAAGTTAACTCACGGTAAATTTTCTTTTACGTAGTAGATACAAATTAGATTGATATTTTAGGTATCCTTTAAAACTTTTTCTTTTTATTTTATTAAAATTTACAACTGTAAACATATTTACAACCAGTAGATTTGTTATAGGAATATATTACATGAAGGTACTTGTGAAGAAGCTACCCATTGGTAACACTTCAAAGATAAATTAATTTAGGAGGTCCCTCGGCCATCTTCTTTTCAGACGCCTCGGAGGGTTGTCAGGAATTGTGTTGTGAAAGGTTACAAACTAGAGGATTGGGGTGACCAAACAGTTTGGAATGAAAAGAGGTATATCTAGTTCGGGCCAAGTCTTCCACAAGAAGAATGTTGAGGTCTTTATGGATAATTTTATTTGTTACATAATAAAGAGCATTTAGGATTTTATGGAGGATTTTGGATTGTAAGGATTGGATACGGAAAGAATTTGATGTTTTCGTAGAGCCACAAAGCTCAATACTGTGTGTCCAAATGGGCCTGATAATGATAGTGTAAATGAGTTTTTTGTAGAATATTTGAAGTTTAGAGCGTTTGTCAAGTAATTGTTGTTGTATTCGGAATCTGTATGCAGTTTCTTGTCTTTTAAGTCTAATATGAGGATTCTAGGTAATGCGTTTGCCAAGGAGTCCTAGGTAACGGATCTGTTCGACAGGGATCAGTGGAATATTGTTAAAGGATACGGTGGGACATGATGTTATAGGTTTACGGAGAAGGGTAAAAGTAATTTGTTGGGATTTGTTTGGATTCAATTTAATTCTCCAATTTGTACACCATTTTTCAATGGCTGAAATGTGTGACTGCAGGGTTTGTGATGCAACAGTTGGTTCATTATTGACAGACAACACACACGTGTCATCAGCATAGATAGTGAGGACGGTTAAAGGATAAGTAGGGATATCAGCTGTATATACTGTGTAAAGGATGGGACATAAGATGCTCCGTTAAGGAACACCAGCGAACTGGGAAAAGAGAGATAAATAAGCTTTAAAACTAAAAAAAAAAAATAATAATAATAAGGTAAATATAAAAATTCTAGCGTAATTGAAGTAAGTAATATTCTTTACAGTTACTATGTTCCTGTTTAGTAACAGATGTTCTACCAAGTTCTGGAGGAAAGTGAAATTTCCTTTACTTATCCTATGATATGAATTTTTAATTACATGATTAATATTGAAAATCTTATTTTATATTTTTGTGTAGTTTTATAATTTATTTTTCATAAACGTTCTGAATTTTACAGCAGAATGTGTTGCGGGAACCAACTCAGCTGTTTGAAATTGTTTAGAGAATAAACTGAAAATACTACAATAAAGTGTATATTACAATAATGCAAACATTACAATATTACAATAAGGAACCATATAGAAGAGGGTCGTACGACTGATGCCTGGACTTGTTTGTCTTAATACAACTGTAGAAGTGTGTGAGCAAGTTAAACCGATCCGTGATTAGTGCAGCATTCATATCTTCACACCGGTCCGTCAAATCAGTTCGATGTATGAAAGTGTGTGGGCAACTTTACGATCCAATTCTCAACTCTAAACACGAAACCACGTTTGTTTCGTTTGAAAAGTACTTAGAAATTATAACAACGTATACTTGATGTATAGACTATTTCTGCTATTGAAGCACTCTTTAATCAAGAAGAAAGTGATTCTTTACTCTCTCAGATCACTGAGAGCAAATATTGTGCTTAGCTTAGATTATTGGTCTTTGGGTTTACTCGCAGTCGCGTGGCAAGATGACTAACTACAGCATCGAATTCATTTATTTGTGGTGCTATTTCGGATCTAGGATCTATTATTCGACAGCTCTTGAATTTTAAATGGTAAGATTTATGAAAAACATTTCCTGATTTGTTTAGTATTCAAGTTAATTTTAATAGGACATTATTTCATTTTTTATCACGACTGCACTCCGGCTACGAAAAATCATCTCAGTTTGTTTTACGAAATTTATAGCAACCATCTGATATTTGAATATGGTATACACCAGATATCATTGAGCTTCTAAGTAATGGTTCAGGTCAAAAAGTCATCAACATAGTACAAGGGTACAAGATTGTTTTATGCAACAAAACAGGATTTATATAAAGAATGGAGTGTTAAGGACGCTTTCTCATTTCAACGAAAGACAGTCAAGTGAAAAAAAGTAAAGATGGAAGCCTTGGTTTGACAGATACTTCTCGGGTACACTCAACTTAAAAAATAATAAATGTCTATCATTAATAAGAGAATACGTAAATCAATCAATCTGACGGCGCCATGGTCCATGAAGGTCCATGGCCTCCTCAATCCTCTGCAGCTCTTCTTCAATTCCAGAAGCATCAGGCCAGCTTCGATATCTTCCAACCACTATAATTGAAATATAGAGAAGCTATTTCAGTAAACTATTTAGTCCAGAACCTGAAGAAGTATCAATAGTTAATGGGAAAGGTAGAGTAGAAGCAGATACAGATCTAGAATCCCTAAACTCCGAAGAGATAGAGGATAAGTAAAGTTACTGAAAAACAGTCCTAGCCAAATAACAATAAATATAACAAACAATAATAACAATTATCAAAAATCATCAATGTAATATATGTTTGCTCGTGTCCTAACGTCTTAGTACAGTTAGTACAGTATAAATAAAAATGAACGATCACTTGAACGAGAGAATTATATTGTTAAGCCTTCTAATATGTGGCAGAAAATTATTTTCTGATGATACCAATTCGCAGAACCCAAAACATATAATTCCATTGGATATTCTTTAATATATTTCTGTCCCAATAGCATAATCATTTTTTATTTTTCCTCTAATAATATAGATTTAAAGTAAGAAAAACACCCTGAAGGGAGAAAGTGTATAATAATATAACGTTTATATTATTATACAGTCTACCAATTAAACGTAATATGGATTTTTTAAAACAAAAATAATTAAAAAAATGTTTTCAATTAATTTTCAAATTCATAGTGTTAATGTTGATATTATTTTAATAGTTTTCTTGATTTTTATATTCTAAAATTTTACTTATGTTTGATGAATGTTACCAGCATTGAAATTTGAGTAATAGCGTCTCTACATAGATGTTGTAATATGAGTAATAAATGTAACACGATTCTACACTATATCCAGCTAAGTTAAATGTTCTTTTAGATATGTTTAAGTAGAAGAGTAATTAAAGAGAAAAAATAGGCAAAATGTCGAGGCAATGTTCCTCGGTTTTATCTTGGAAGTGATGAATCCACAACCGCAAACCATCACCACCAACTTTTGCTCACTTCAAGCCTTCTTGGACTTTGGACACCTAACACAACAGCCGGACCTTTCTCAGTTTTGAAAGAATGTTCCATGCTTCCTGACAGAGTGGGACTGTAACGGAAAGGACCCAGGTAGAGCACGACGACGAACAATGAGGCCGGGGAGGGAGGTATATTTCTGTCTACGGGACAAATTTGGGGTTGGGGAGCCCCCACCACGCCCAGATGTGAGGGCTGTTTTTAGCAGCACACGGCCTGCCAGGCTTCAGTCGCTAGCTGAGGGTGCCATGGGGAGGACTGGCTAAGGTCAGGTTCCATGCTTCTGTACTTCCCATAGTGTGATTAATTGGATATGGAATGTAAAGAAGTATGGAGCTTCCTTGCCGAGATTCTTCAACGGCTGCGGAGGAGTACGCCAGCAGTTCAGTGCAAGTGCAGTGCCGTCCACGTGCTAACCGTGACCGTTAATATTTCAGCCAGATCGAAAGTGCGCCTGCGCATAAGGAACCCGTAGTTGATTTTTTTTTTTTTTTCTTTAATTTTTGTGATATTTTTTTTAAAAAACTAAATCGGCGAACAACACGCTATTGATTGAGTCGTGGGTATAAGAAGTTCCTTATCTGCAGACAAGCCTTCTTTGTGGTTCTTATCGGTCAGTTGTCAAATTCAGAGTGCGGCGTTAATACTGTTAAATTTTCAAGTGCTCCGTTCAGTTACGTATTTCAAATGTAAGTATTGTAAAAGAAACTTAGACTTAGGCAGTCAAGAAAGAAACTTAAAGTGAAATGTCTCTCCTATTGGAGGAATATTTCATTCATACAATTCCATCACTGAATAACCGAACTTTATATTGTTAAGCTCCTCTTTAAAATTTGCCTAAGGTAGGAGCGAATTTCTGAGCTAAGTTTAGGTACAGCGTTACCAGAAGAGGAGAGTCCATGTTTAAAAGTGTACGGCGGTGAAGAGGGGAGGTAAGATGACACCAGGAGTGGGTATCTTTGATATTTAAGACCGCTCTGAGAGGAGCTGCGTAAAAATAGCCCGCCCCTGGCCGCCATCCAACCTCTTCCTCCTGTCTCCATTTACCTAAGGCTGATTAGTTCTGTAATCTGATACGGGAGGGTTCGCATGATCGCCCTAACACACATAGCATATAGCCTCATGTATAATTATATAAAACCACATACTAATGGCATAGGACTAAAAAATCCTTTCTTATATTATAAACATTTAAAATTTGTACATTCATTATTAAGAGCAAATTATATACAAATGTATGCATGATACAGACTGTAAAAAATATTTAGACATTTATGTAAATTAATAATGTGCCATTGGCGCGATCATTTATTGTGATTTATTATGTGTCAGATAAAAATGAAAATAAATGTTGAACTGTTTAATTGTATAAATGTTGAATATCTATAATACTAGGTATTATCTATCTATGTAATAACATTGAAAATAAATATTTAAGAAATGATCTTTTTGTTACAATCAATACTTTTAATTTATTTTAACTTTTAGTTATTCTTTACTTTTTTAATAAGAAATCTTTATTAGACATTTAAAAGGTAAGATATCATAAGGGAAATATATATTTTCGTATTTAAATTTTTAACCAACACATTCATATTAAATTAATTTTTGTTAAAGGCACTTTTATAAAACAGGAATCAGTTAAATAAAAATGAATAGTTTTTTGTTTTTTTTTTGGCTTTTTATTGAGATATCTTGCCCTCGACCAATTGTTAGGAGTAGTGATCTTAAAAAAAAATCACTAACATAAATCAACTTCAATTCGGAGAGAATCACTTGTATAAACTCTTGTAAATTTAAAAATAATGTAACATGATGCCCTACACCACCGAGCTACCGATATTAAAGTATTTATTAAATGATAAAAGCAAAAATGATAGAATCTCTTTATGTCTTTTATGAAAATATAATAAATATCCATATACATTTTAAGGTTAATAAAGATAGATATAATACTAAAATTGATGCAGTGTCTAAAGAATAGGCAATGTTACAATTATGGTAGGTGCTATAATCTAAAAATAAAAATAATTTTCTTTTCATTAAATTTTATATGACTTTTGTTCGTAGAAACATAAAATAATCTAAACAGTAAAATTTATTTATTTTTGGGTCTTTTATTTTTAAAAAATAACGATATTAACTCGATTTTTTTTTTTTATGAAACCAAATCGGTAATAATTGTTGTACATCAAATGTCACAATGCCTATTCCATTGCTTAAGGAAATCTCTAGTATTTAATAGTGATAAAAATACGAAAAGATATTTTCAAATTAATGTCTTGGGGAGGGGAGGAGGAGAGAGAGGGTCCCCTATTTAGCTAGACTGAAACGGTTTTTAAGGAATTAAGTAATTGTGCTTACCCGCATGACAACACACCCCAACTTGGGCCCATGGGAACGGAACAACAGCCAACAGCTTAATTCATTCAGAATAGTTTTGGATGTGAATAATACGAATTATTCAACTAGTTTTATCAATGGAATGACCTTGGTGACAAAAAAAAAGTAATTTAGGAGTTCATTTTTGCTAAAAATAGATGAAATATTAATTATCTAATAATTAATTCCAATAAAAACTTTATTGACTATATATGGAACTGACATATGGAAGTCATGTTATGAATTAAAAAATTATTTCTCTAGAAACATTTCTAAAAAATATTGTTAAAGGAATTAATATTTTGTTGACATTGAACTTATTAAAATGAAAATAATGACACAATTAAACGAAAAATAAAATAAGTAAGAATGATATAATAAAAATTTATCATCGTTACTAATATGACCAATTTTAACAACAAGAATAAAAATAACATTAGTTTAAAAATGGTAATAGAATAGTAAACATAATAATTGTTATACCAAAGTGATGATTGAATTAGACATACATACAACATTTGTAAATTAAGTAAAGTGATAGGGGATATTATAAATATCCTGGAAATGACATGAATACAAATGAAGGAATTCCTAGAAGAGATGGTAGGGTTAATAAAGGATGAGTCGTGTAAGAGGAAGTATACAGGTCAGGGAGTCGTGATCTGGTATTCAAAGAGCGTGTGAAACTAAGGTAAAAAGAAGTCGAGTGGAAGTTTTGGGCTTCTAAGGAAGAGCCAAGGAAGTTGGAGGGGTGGGTAGTACCAACATCAACTTAGTAATACCGATGCAAGAAGTGAGAATTGAATCTGAAGGTAATTGTAACAAATGGTTAACAAACCATTCCACTGATACTCAGAAATCGTAAATAAATGAGAAGGAAATAAGACAACTTTAATAGGAGACGAACACTAGAAAATATTTGATAAGAAATTACGAAATGTTTAGAACTCTTTACATTTCTCTTTTCATAAAGAATGAAATGCCTCAACAAATTATCAGAAAAATATGTTTAGTTATTTATCACGGTGGTTCAAATGTTACTTATGTATTCTAGGTAAGTGGGTGGTTACTGAATATTTGAATGGTTGTAAAGATTTTATGATTGGGACCGGCAACTTCCTACGCTGATTAAGCAGCTAATAATTGTTCATGGCCAAATTTCATGATTGCATTCTTTCATGACAACGAATATCCAATAGCAAGGTCGATTAGTAAAATCAACATTTGGAGATGGTATATAGGCAATATTGGGAAAAATGGTTGGGAATAAATCGCAAACACATAGGAACAAGAAAGTTGGTTAGACAGAAAGAAGAACACAAGTGATAGGCAGTTAACGAGCCTAAATCCATACAGAATTTTTACTTGATAATTTTCTTTTAGATTAATTTTTACAGCAAGAACCCAATTTATTTATAAATGCCTTATTCGCAAGCCGTTAACGTTATAAAGTGTTGGCCATTAAAGTTATTTTACAAAACTTTTCACTGATTTAAGAATCAAAAAGTTTAAAATGCTACTAAATATGCATATAAAAATAAAAAAAGTTCAAATCCTTCATACTAAATAGTTTTTGCATTTTCTTTCAAAGGATTTAATAAAACCTTAATTAATATTTTCGCTACTGCTAGTTTAACAAACATATAAGATTTGGTTCTGTTTTTTAAAAAACTTTAAATTAATAAATAACAATAACTATTTTTGTAAAATGTAGTTAAGACTACATTAATGATATTAATCCGTATATTTGAAGTAAATTTATTATTATATTATACACTAATATGAGTATAATGATTGAATTGGAGATCTATTAGTTAATCTCATAATTGAATTTTACTTATTAAATTTAATAAGTAACAACTATAATTATCCTGTACTTTGGATTGCTAGAGTGGTACATGTGCTTTTTTTTAATTGGAATGTAATAGGGGTATTATAAAATTAGGGGTATTTTATATTCGAATTAATAACATTTAAATCTTCAATTTTTAAATCATCAGATGATAGGGAATATATATACAATTTAACCAATCAATACTTATGTACGCATTCTTTATATCAGGTGTGATAAAAAACTATGACAAGCAAAATCTAAAATCAATATATATATATATATATATATATATATATATATATATATATATATATATATATATATATATATATATATAATTTTTTGTTAAACAAGGGTCACTTCGTTTGTATACGTTTTGGAGTGAGGCCTCATCATCAAAATCTCAATTAACATTAAAACTATTTATGTTTATGTATTGATTGAAATATAGAACTTCGTACATATTGAAAAAATGTCATGACAAAAACTTGTAAGGAGACTAGCCATTGGTAGTTTCTCAAAACATAAATATTCTTAGTCCACCCAAAGAAAAATATTTTAAAATTACCGGACTGGTACTGCCGGCGACGCGGTTGAGAGAGAAGCGCTGGGATCTCTTAGAGTCTCGCTTTGTCCTTCACACGTGGAGGAAAGGGCTGGACTGGGAGATCGCTTACCTAATTGTAAATATTGTATTTAAGTATGAATGTTTTTCTATTTATTTCTATTACTTATAATTTATTTAATTTATTTACGAATTTCTGTATTTCATTTAATTTTAACTCTTAGTTACATTTCCTAGTTTATTATAGTTTTTGCCTTTGTTATATAGATTTTTATATTTTTTATTTTTTTATTTATTTACTTATTTATTATTATTATTATTATTTTTATGTATTGTATATATGGTATGAATCTGCCAGTCTCAGCAACTTTAATACTCAGTGCCCTTAAGTGTGGCAAAATGTATTATTACTCAATAAACAGATAGATAAAAAAAAAAAAAAAAATTAAAATTAAATTAGGATCCTGAAGATGCATGAGCGAATGTATCGAAACGTTGACATAAAAGCCAACATTCGTTTAATTTACTATCATTATTTTTGCTAACGTAAACTTCTGACTGCAAGTAAAGAAATACAAGATGCGATACAAATGATCTTATTTGTAAAATGAACGTTTGTACCAACATAAGACAACTAGTGAATCCCACCACAAGAATATCGTATTATTACTATACCAGATTTCACCAATTTTTATTCCCAAAGCACCTTTTGAATGAAAGAACCATCCACGGAATCATGTATACTTACCAACAATTGCATTCTACAAAACAACATTATACGAATATAAATACCACATCTTCCGAACCAAATAAAAAATAAATTTTATAGGTAAATTTATAAATTTACTCTTTTATAGGTAAATACAAAAAAACCTATTGAAAAGGTAAATGGATGAGAATTCCTTCAAATTATAAAGTTTATGAATTCGTTTGACTCAAGATTTAACGTTCTTTAATTTATTAAAGAATGCATTTTTCGCTGTGATACATCGTTTAGGAGTTATAGGTGAAAAAACAAAAAAATATTGATAAAATCTGACATTTTTGGCTGTTTTCGCTTGGTGACCCGCGTTAGCAATTTTTTTTTTTTTTCCATGTCTAAACCCATACAAGTTGAAAAAAATAAAAACTTTTCTTACATTTTTCACAATGGATTTCCCGTTTCAATCCTCAAATCATTGGCCTAATATTCTTTAAATCATCCGCCATTTTTGAAAGCAGCGGCTCTGGAACGGCAGACAAGGTTCTTTTTACTCAGAATAGCATACACTTTCGTAATTTACAATCAAACCTTCGCTTGCAATTAGGTCGATTTTTGGGCTCTGGCTATTAAGGATTCCTTACTCATCCTCGTGCGTAAAATCTCTTCTTTAACTTCATTTAAACGAGAATTGTTTTTCCATCACCTCAGCTATAAAACTTCCAAATATATGTAAAAATTACATAAACTTATTTAAGTGGTACTAGCCTTATTTTCTTGTCATTTCAGAGTTATTAATTATTTTCATTACCTTTGCAAATAAATAAACATACAGACACGAATTTATTTATAATTTTATTCATTTACTAGTTTTTAATATTTTTTTGTCTCCTGTTATTTCCAAAAAAAAAAAAAAAAAATTAAAAAGTAACTAGTTGACTCGTGCGAACAATTAACAATAATATATAGGAATAATTT